AAAAAAAAAATACATAGACTATATGTTTGGAAACTACCTGTGTTATGCCTATTGCTTCAAATAAGTGCCTTTCAAATGGACTGCCATAGACATGTCAGAAAGGGCTATTAGTGTGATGGCTTCCAGGGGTATTTTTTAAAAATCATACCATTATATATCTGACCCATTTATTTTAAGATTGAATACTACCTGTAAGAAAATTGGTTATTTCAAAGGTTTTTATTTATATTGCATCAAATAATAATCTTGAAGGTTTGTTTAGTGTCATTCAGCTATAATCTTAGAGAAACTTATGTTGTAATTTCATTATGCCAGAACTTTATTGTTACTAACAGTAGGAACATAACTTGTTTTAAAGTTTCACAGTTTGAAATAGTAAATGCAATATTGATGGCCCAAGTGACATATATTAAAAAGAAAATTTAGTTTTTTAACATAAAATTGGGCAATTTTATTTTTATCTGTCTTCTATAAAATATCTCAGATTAGATCAGTGAATATAATGTATATTTTCTCCTCAAATGGTACAGATCATGTCTATTACTTAAATGTGTATTTGAATATCCTTTAAGTTGTGAGGTTTTTGTGTAATTTAGATGTGTTTAATTGTTAGGTGTTAAAATGGGCATTTTTGTATAAACTTCTAACTGCACAAATAAATATATCTTTTGTGTTTCCTTAGGAGAAGGTGATAAAGTAAAGTGCTTTCACTGTGGAGGAGGGCTAACTGATTGGAAGCCCAGTGAAGACCCATGGGAACAACATGCTAAGTGGTATCCAGGGTAAGATATTCAATTGTTCATTTACTAACAGGCAAATTGAATAGCATACAGTGAAAAGACTTGAATTTTTTTTTGTCATCCTCGGTAGAGTGCCGTGGCGTCACAGCTCAAATCAACCTCCAACTCCTGGGCTGAGGCAGTTCTCTTGCCTCAGCCTCCCAAGTAGCTGGGATTACAGGCGCCTGCTACAATGTTTGGCTATTTTTGTTGCAGTTTGGCCAGGGTGAAGTTTGGACCCGCCACCCTCGGTATATGGGGCCAACACCCTACCCACTGAGCCACAGGCACCACCCTTGAATTACTTTTCACCTCAACTATTTTTACCTTCTCTATGGCTTGAAATTCACACCAGGTTTATAAAAATGAGGTCACCTACTTTACAGGGGAAAGAAAACCCACCTCAGCCTTCTCTGGTGACCAAAACATTCACTAAGTATGTATTATATCTATGACATACAGATTATTCCGTGTCTAAGCACAAATTAGAAAATATATGCATGTTTTTTTTTTTTTTAGACAGAGTCTCACTTTGTCGCCCTCAGTAGTGTGCTGGGGCATCATAGCTCACACAACCTCAAACTCTTGGGATCAAGCAATTATCTTGCCTCAGCCTCCCAAGTAACTGGGACTGTGGACACCCACCAGAATGCCTGGCTATTTTTACATCTTGCTCAGGCTGGTCTCAAACCTGTGAGCTCAAGCAATCCACCCTCCTTGGCCTCATGGAGTGCTAGGATTACAGGTATGAGCCACCATGCCCAGCCTCAAGTTTTTAGTTTTGGAAGTAGATTCTTTCATGCTAAGCATAGGAGAGACCATGTTACCAAGGAGATTCCTTAAGAAGCTATACATCCTATAAAATACTAATGCTGCACCTTACTGACTAAGATGCACAATTGTTCTTGTTTTTTTTTTAGAGACAGAGTCTTACTTTATCGCCCTCGGTAGAGTGCCATGGCATTACAGCTCAGCTCACAGCACCCTCCAACTCCTGGGCTTTAGGTCATTCTCTTGCCTCAGCCTCCTGAGTAGCTTAGACTACAGGCACCCGCCACATTGCCCAGCTATTTTTTTTTGTTGCAGTTTGGCCAGGCCATGTTTGAACCCACCACCCTCAGTATATAGGGCCGGTGCCCTACTCATTGAGCCATAGGCACTGCCCAATTGTTCACATTTTTTGTTTTTTTGAGACAGAGCCTCAAGCTATCCCCCTGGGTAGAGTGCCGAGGAATCACAGCTCATAGCAACCTCCAACTCCTAGGCTCAAATGAGTCTCCTGCCTCTGCCTCCTCATAGTAGCTGGGACTACAGGTGCCCCCCACAATGCCCGGCTATTTTTTTGGTTGCAGCCATCATTGTTGTTTGGCGGGCCTAGGCTGGATTCGAACCTGCCACCCTTAGGTGTATATAGCTAGCGCCTTAGCCACTTGAGCCACAGGTGCTGAGCCAATTGTTCACATTTTTTTTTTTTTTTTGAGACGGAGCCTCAAGCTATCCCCCTGGGTAGAGTGCCATGGCATCACGCTCACA